CAAGCTAAAACTAGCAGAGAAAGGGGAGAATTTCAAAGATGTGTCTTCTTGTGTGTTGGTTTCTTTTATCTGTGTCCTTTTAGACTACTGTCTCATTCTTATTTATTAAAAGGAACCGTCTTTCTAAAGTGTCCCTCTAATTAGCAGAGGGCCACTCAATCTTCTGCAAGTATTTAGGGCTAACTACCATGTAGGGGTCCTCTTGTGGCTCTCACTTCCATCTGTAGAGGCTTTCAGTTTGTATTTATACACACAAAACCCACCCATGGGCACCCTATAAAGGTTTCGGAGGCTGTCCATCTTCATGGGTCCATGTGGGCTCATCTTTCTCTTGCTGAATGACTAGTGGATTGAACTGCAGACCTTTCAGTTTTGAGCTCAACAGTTACCCAACCATGCCACTGGTGGGCACAATCAGCACACGATCCTAAAGGGTGAGCAGACAAATGATATTCTCTAGGACACCCTCTTTCTAAGCTCCTCTCCAGAGTTCATTTCTAATTCAATGCCTTTCAAGTTCACTCCTATTTATTTTCCAATTCATCCTCCTCTTTTTTCCCTGAGGTGAAGTACAATAAGGTAGTAAGAGATACGACAGTTCTCAGAAAAGCAACCGGGGATAGACTCTTGGTTGAGGTCATCCACTTGGCCGTTGGTGCCGTTCACCGGAGCATGGCTGGCAGGACGGTTATTGATGTTACCTGAAGCCCACATCTCCCTCCATCTACATTTCTACTTTTATTCCAGATTGACTCAGGCATTTCCAGATTGTTTATTTATTCTGTGACCTTATCACAGCAATGCATCTAGGTCATTGCCCCAGAGAGCCACAACAGACTCTTAAGCTGTCATATTGTCATCCTCCAGTCAAACGTGGACACACCAGAACCAGCCCCTGGCAGGGACACTTACACTGCTCCAAAATGATGCCCTCTGATTCAGGGCATCAAGTTATTTCTTCATGCAAACACTTCCTTTTGGAAACAGAAAAGATTTTTGAATGGAAGAGATCAGAGTCTGAGTAAATTCAGAAAACATTTTTTCAATTATAGTAAGGGTTCCAAGAAACTTTTTGTCATCTTTGCTGTGACTTCAAAGTGACCATTTCAATTAATGAAAGCATCTGTCTTTTGAATGATTATTTGTTTCTTGTATTAGGAAACTGGAAGTTAGCTAGAGCTCAGCTGCAGAACATAAACCGAAGTATTATGGAGGAGAAGCCTGACAATGTGAAGCAATGCTTAATTATTTCAATTTGAGCAATTAACCATTTATACACACAGCAAGGAATTCAGATGATGACATTGGGCATGAACATATGTGTAACAACATAATGCTTCGTTTTTGACCTGTAGAAAAATCCCATCTTTGTAGAACACTTCATTGTTCTCTTTCCACAATGGCCTGTTTCCTATTCACCTCTTAGGATCCTGAGTTTGAAGTTCTGATAATTCCTTCAATGATTC